TATTAAGGATGGATAATTTGTACACTCTTCCCAAGTTTTGTTTTGTAAGGCATCGAGAGAAAAAAGCAGACTGTGAACTAAAAAAAAAAAATCGCTGTTTTAAGGTATGTGTGTATGAAACACCTAGCCAATGTTATCCATATGCCATCTAGCTCTCATACAATCCAGACAGGAAATCCAAAAGCTAGCCTTTCTCCCTTCCCCCACCACACTTACAAGTAGGTATTAGCTAAGTTGACTATCAGTTAAAAAACCCAAAACCTCTTTGTTAGTCCAAACCAGCGTAATGCATAGGCAGAGATATGTCTTACGATAAACCACCTGCCAACCTCTGGGGGCTCTTTATCACTTTCACTGCTAAACATTACAACAAAGGCAGCCTGTAGACATTGACCTGCATGCCCTGTGTAGTGTGGAAAAGCTTCTGGTACAAATTTCTTAGACCTTGAATCTGAGCCTCTGAGATGAGAGCTCAAAGTCAAAATACAACCAAAGGAAAGAGGAAAACCAGAAAAGATTTAAGAATTATTTCTCATCACTAACTGCTTCATTTACTAGTCCCAGTGTACGGCCACTACTGGCCTCTCTTCTGCCTGACATGGTCCATTCATTTGGCAATTATGATAAAACAGTCCTAACTTCTCTACCTACTTCTAACTCACAGAGTGCTATTGTTTTGCTCTATGATGAAAATTTTAAATAATCTTTGGATCCCTCTTGCTTCCTATTAAAGTCTTGTTGTGCGGCCCTACTGTAATTACAGGGAGGTCCGCTCTGAACTGCCCTGTTTGAGGTGAGCAGAGTAAGAGAATTCCAGCAATTGAGTGCCCTCCGCCATCAGCACACCAGTTCTCTTGTCTTCCCACAATATTTAACAAGGAAAGCAAACAGGAAAAGGTTGACATACAAATTAAGAGGACGCAGCAAAGAACTCCCCCAAATGTCTAAGCAATCCTATTTCTTTCATTGGCTATTGGTACTTAAGGCTGGAAATTTTCTTTGGAATATGTCTTGTGTGTAGGAATGCATAAAAAGATAACACCTTGCAAAAAGTCAAACATACAGGTTTAATAATGTGCAACTGATGAAGATGGTTTATAAATGAAATACCACCTACACATTTAGTTCCCTAAATATATTATGCTATTAGTCATTAAAGTTAAGACCTATAAGTACAAGTTTTCCATATGTGGAAAAGTAAATCTGCTTTTAAATTAAAGAGAAATTATTACTCTAATTCTTAAAAATAAAACTATCAGAATATAATTCAAGTGTAGCTGCTCAGAATCACTGAATAAGTTTAAATTTGATAATAAAACATTTAAGTTTCAACCAATGCACCTTTGCTGAAGCCCATTGAGCTGAAGTAACTTCGAGTCTGGTTTATTTCCGTCACATACATTTTCCAACAAGAGCATGTACATTCAGTATAGAACATTTCCAGCAACAGTTGCAGGCCTTCTAGTTTCCTTTCACAGTATATTTTAGTGCAAAGCACTAGGAAGGGTAAATGTTTTTCTAGCTCGAGAAGCATTTTATTATGACCTTGTGGAGCTCCAACATTTTAAAATCGTATACAAAAAGTATATAGATGGACAGAGTGCCCCCTAGATACAGGTATGAACCTATATAAAAACATGGTATATTTTGTTGTACCTTTAAAAATTATAATTTGACACAAATTACTAAAAAATAAAATAGTCCCTAAAAAGTACAAAATGTTAATACACAAAAAGCCTGCCCCAAATTTCATAAAGATAAATGTACTTCTGTTTCTCCTAAAATCTTGATTACAAAAATGGACAAGAATTCATTATTCTCCAAGGTTTACAGTAGGAATCAAATATTACCTAAAGTGGTCATTTAAGATTTTTCTTGGGAAGGGAAAAGAAAAAAAAAAAATCAAGGTTTCTATCCCTATCTTTTTCTTTTCAGGCAATATTTAAAGAAATAAACTAGCATATTAGAAGTGGTTGTGCATGGATTGTCTGTATCTATAAAAACATCACTAAGGTATCTATTACCTTCATATTAACATTAGTAAATGTATGGCCTTAAAAAAAAAAAGAAACTGGAAAAATTAAGTTGCCATCTATCATTAAAGTGCTTGTGTATAAAACTTAAAGAAAAATAGGGGAATGTTTAATTTCCACAAAAACCTCAGATATTAACAAATGAATAGGTAGTAGTAACCCATACATGACAATGAACTGGAAATTTCTTAGAGCATCTTTTCTACAATGTAACTTTCAAACACTTAAGTGCTGGAGAATAAGTTAGGAATAAATGGATGTGAAAATAATTACAAATATTTAGTAAACTAAATATTCATAATGTGTTGAGACTTTTTGCCTTTTGCTCTTATCATATACTAACTAGAAAAAAATATATATGTATATATCTGTACATTCCAGATGAAAATGCTGCCAAATAAAGTAGAACAACGCTAAATTCCCTATGATAAAAAGTCTATGTCAATTAAAAATCACCAGAGGTGATCTTTTCTTCAACAAACTATTTGAAAAACAAAATTGGCAAAATTTTTGTTAGAAACAGTAGGCCAAATGCACAAGGTCAAGAATAGTTAGCCGACAGACTGTGATGACGAAATGTAATGTCCCAGTTACGTGAAAGTGCTGGAGGAGGCAGGGAGGGCCTGAGAGACAAGTGGTCAGATGGTTATTAATTTAGTCAGAAAACAGCAGTTACAGTTGAATGCTTATGAAAATGGTTCTCTCTTTTTCCTCATAGTACCATCTGAAGATGTTTAGTGGTGCTAACACCAATTTAAAGTCTTTCCACAAAAATGAACTCCAAACCTTTCGTACATCACTTGAAGTTATCTGAGGAGAAATGGGAATAAATGAACACTTTTCAGTTTACTAATAATGTCTTGTTTTCAAAGTTATACAATAGTGACTTCTAAAAGATGATCTCACCTCAAGTTTTCCACACAAATAAAAAAATATGTGATTATCGAATCACAGCATTTAACTTACACAGTAGTCACACTATAAATACTCTGCTTTAGAACCAGAATCCAAAAACTAAGTTAATACTCATTTAGATACTACATATCTTAATACAGGGGACAGGTATTGAAGGTAAACTTTAAAGATATATATGAAATTTGCAATAACAAGTGTAAAGAACTTGCTCCTTATCTTAGATCTCATTTTTTTTAAGTCTACAATTGTTCCAAAACCTTCTAAAAAATATCATTTTTCTTTCTTCCCTGTAGGGATTATACTTTTGTTGCAACAACCACCACCAAGAAAGTACCACTTCATAGTATTAGCTGTGCTGAAACGGTCACCAAGAAGTTTATTTAAACAAAAAGAAAGAGGATTTGGGACCTCCTAAATATCCTTTTTTTTTTTTTTTCCAGGTAAGAACTAAAGAAGTTAAAAAAAAAAAGAAGTAACTAACACATACTCCCAAGAAGAAAGGGGCGGGAGGTGGGGGTACTTATCACATTTCCCCCTTTTCCTGGAAGCACTATGGTCAACATAAATAATAATAATGCTCATCATCTAACATCAATTTGGGGATTTTTTTTCCGAGCACAGCACTTTATTTAGCCATCACAGACTAATTTTTACAATAATTACAGTGCCTCCAAAGATATCTCCTATAATTATCGCCTTCACAGATTCCTTCTATTTAACTTCCCTAAGATGCATTCATTAGTAGCCTAAGTTGCTGAACCAAATTAAACCTGTGCGAACAGTTAAACAACGACTAACTGTAAACATAAGCCAATGCAAATGTGCATCTATTTCACAATATTGAAGGGGCAACCACTGACCTTGTGCCATCTACCTAGAACTAGACTGCACTATCCTGTGGAAGTAAGTTCTGAAGTTAACGTTTGTTCCCAAGCCACTGAAATAAGGGTCACAAGAGACAGGTGCACTCTGCCCCTTGCTCTTGCCGTTCCCATTGTCATATGTGGAAGCAAACATGGGTTAAAATGGAACCATCTATAAATTATGGTCAAAATGACTAAAAAGTTTGATGGGGTGGGGGGTGGGGGTGGGAAGCAAAACTCTGTAACTGTTCCTCACCAGACAAGAGCCTTAGATCTTGTATTTCGGCCTTTGGTTTTGTTTCCTTCAGGTGAGTTGGAAGCATTTGCCTTATGAGTTTTCTTATGATGTTCAAGGTAAGTCTTTTTGGCAAATGCCTTTCCACACTTATTGCATCTGTGAAGAGAGAAGTTTTTTGTGACTTTGACTTCGATGCCGACGTCAGCTACTTCGTATTTTTTACTAGGAGAGTTAGAAGTGCCATCATGTTTTGAATCACTGTGTTTTGCTTCATCCCTCGAAGGGCCTCTTTTTGCCACTTTATTGAGAACAAAATCAATGGGCTTTTTTATAGCTCTGATCTCTAAACTGGCCGTTATCTTCCCAAGGTAGCGGGAAGACTTTTTATGAACCACAGTTATATGTCGAATCACGTCACGCTTTCGACGGGTTTCGTAAGTGCAAAGAGGACACTTGTAGAATTTAACATAAATGTTATTTCCATCTGTGTGCAACTCAATGTGTTTCGTCAAGTTCTGTTTGGAAGTAAACTGGCGTTTACAGAGTTTACAGTAAAGTTGCTTAAAGTCAAAGCCAGCTGAAAGTTTTGGTTTCCTGGTTTTCGGCGGGCCACCTGCAGCAGGCGGACTAGCTGATTTAGGGCTTTCAGAGTCTTGCCTAACTTTATTTTTCTGTGCTGCCGGTGTGCTCCTTTTTTCATTTGAATGATTTGTTCCCCTTAATTCTTTCTGTGGAGAATGGGTAATAGAAGGGGGTGAAGATTCTACAGACTCTGCTGGTTCAAATTTAACGTTTATTTCTGTACTGTTGGCAGTATTATTAGGGCCTTTCTCTCTTTTAGAGTTTGTTCCAGAAAGAGTTATCTTGTGTACAATTTGCATATGTCTTTTAAGCATTATTTGTGAACTATATTTCCTCTTGCAAAGGAGGCATTTGCATGCAGTTAAATTGTATTCAGTCTTTGAAGACGACTTCTGTTTTCGAGTCTGAAAAGATTTTTTAGGAGAAGCAGAATCCAGGAACAAAGGTTGCCCAGGCTTTGTTGCTATATCAGGAGTAATTGAATCCCTCCTTAGTCCTCGATGAACTTCATCAAAATGCCTCCTTACATTTGCTTTTGTAGCAAATGATTTACAGCACACTGGACAACTCCGACTCAATGGAACTAGAACATTCTTACTGCGTCCTTTAGAGGACTGGTTTGGGTTCTTTCGTGTTTCGATGTATTTTTTTAGTTCTTCCATTTTTTTCTTGTGGACTTTGCGAATATGACGACGAACACCTCGTCTGGAATTAAATTCTTTTCTACAGAGACAGCATATCAACTGGTGGCCAAAATCAGAACTGTCAGAAGTTTCCAAGTCAGCTGGAGACTCCTGAGGTGGTTCATCAGGTGGAGGTGTAATTTCATCTGCAATGATCTCAACAGGAGGGGGCTCCACTGTTTCCACTTCTGGGTCCGGAACTGGTGCTGTTTTAGACTGTTCAGTGCTGGTTTCCTGGACCTGAACCTCCGTCTGTTCAGGAGTACTGCTTGCCTCTTGGACTTCAGCAGGATTATCGGTCCTTGAAATATATTGAAACACTGCATTCTGATTGGTTTCTATGGGTTCTAGCCTAATAATATATTCTCGTTTATCCACATTGGGATATATGGCTTCTAGGAGATCGTTTATGGCTTGGCTTTGCTTATCATTTACATCAGGAAGGTCTATTAAGAAAAAACAAAACAAAACACAATTTTAATCTGAAATAATGAACCTGCTCGAGCCCGCTGACATTTGTAAATGTATCAGGAGGCCCTCTCCACCTTAAAGTTTATAATATGGTTCATATTTACTTTTGCAAGAGTATTACCTATTTCTTAGTATTTTATGACGATAAAACTAGTAGAGACATGCTCCATCAATTGAATTGTGCTTTGCTTTATTGCACTTCACAGTAATTATTACATTTTTTAAAACTGGAAGGTTTGTGGCAACCCAGTATCAAGCAAGTCTATCAGCCATTTTCCCTGCAGTATACAAGCTTCCTTTGTGTCTCTGTGCCAGATTTTGGTAATTCTCACAAATTTTTCCATAATACACACTACTCAAGATAGCGTGAACATCATTTTTACATGTATTGGGAAACCGAGAAATTCGTGTGACTCACTTCACTGTGCTATTTGCATTATTGCAGGGGTCTGGAACTGAACCTATAATCTCTCGAAGGAATGCATGCATTAAACCAAAAACCAAACCCACTGCCATCAAACCAAATCTAACGAGCAGCGTCAGAGGTCAGAGCACAACTGTCCCATATGGTCTGTGATAGTTACAGACATGCCACATCTTTGCCTTGAGGAGAAGCTGGTGGGTTTGAACTATCGACTTTTTGGTTCACAACCAAGCAACTAACCACCCAAAACTGGATTAACAAAACTCAAATTTGTTTTAAGTTAAATTCTTATCTCAGTATGCAAAGGTTTAAAAAAAAACCAACCCAGATGCTATCTGAAGAGTACCTTCCAGTCTCAGAACCCAGAAAAGATAAAACATCATGAAGAGTGTTACTATATTTTTGAAAAATTATTTTAAAGGGGGACAAATAAACAACACTCCTACTAGTTTTATTTATAATAAGCTTATCTAATTGTGTGAGGATAATTTGAACACCTTAGAGAAATGAAAGAGCATAAAAAGTTTTAAAGATTTGTAAGAGAACATATAAAAACATCAATGGAATGAATAGAAGTTATTTACGAAACTCAGTTCTAGTCATGGTTTCTAATGTGACAAATGATTAAAGTATAACTAAATTTATTTCAAAAAAGAGAGTTCATTTTATTTACACGCTCTATAGACAAATGTTCCAATTACAACCCAGTTATCTGACACCCGGTAGGTTTCCGTGAACAACTCTGAAAGCTGGAACAAATACAGCACCAAAACTGCTATCTACTTAAAAGTCAAGAAAAACATCATCATAGTTCTTATAGTCTATTACTCTTTCTTTTTCTAAATGGATAAGGCAGTGTCTATAGAAAGTGAAACGCTTTCACAAAAGCACTTCTAAAATGAGCATTACTAAAATTGTACAATAACCCAACAGATCCAGTTATCTATTTCCCTTGATAAATCAACTCCAAAAATAACCAAGATAACGAGTAGTTACTGAAAAATAAAGCTATTTTTCTAGTAGTACTTTAATTTAAAGGTTATAGTTTATTGCCTTTAAACTTATAATTCAATGGTAAAACTAAGTAAAACAAGATCAAACAGTAGTAAACAACAGGAAAAGCTTCCAGACAAACATGATTTTTTTCGGTGTCATCAGTAACCTATACTTTAAGCCATCTTCACACGAATATTTCATGTGAAGTATATGGAGTATTTGGAATTTGCATTTCCACCTAACAAAAAAGTTAAGTTGAAAATGCGCAAAATGCAACTATGGTATCAAATTGACAAAGTTTTACATTTTGTAAATTCACTAGGAGCTACTTGTACAAGAAATAATGACAGTAACCTGATACTAAAATACTTAAGTGTATTCACATTAGTTCTCTAAAGCAAAAAGATACTGCCATTACATACTCTGCTAAGGTAAACACACAGATAAAATTCATTTAATCCAGCAAACATTTGAGTCAGCAAAGACTTTCTTGACTCACATCTACCTTCATCACATAAGGCTATTTTGGGGCTCATGTTAGCCTGTGACAAAAATTTTAATCTCTGATATAATGACTGATCTAAATTTTCACTGAAAATAAAACTGATCTTCAAATCAAGAAGGACTGAGAAAACACTAGAGCAATTAATAAAGATTACTTAATGCTCTCCACCACTCCAAGAATTCAATCATTTATTCATCCTTTGCTCTCTATTTCCAACCTTCTCATTTACTTAAGAGAAATCTCAGTAAATAACAGTACCTGGTAACAAGTTACTAAAGAAAAAAAAATACCATGAATGTGCCCCTTTAAGACAGACAGCATTAATATTTTATAACTTAAAAATACCCTGGTATAAACTGTATGGCCCATAGAAACCATCAAAAACAATCCCCAATATTTTAGTACAAATAAATAACACTCATAAGTCTAACCTCTTTTATGGTATCCTTAGGAAAATCTAAGTGGGAAGCATGACATGAAAGTACCTCTGTAGGAAATTGAATATAACACTGAGTCATGTGTTTAATTTTCTTCTCCACCATGACATTACCTGTAAGAAGCTATTGATAGCATTTTAATGCAAAGGTTTAGCTACAGTACAGAATATGCAACCGCAATGAACATCACAGAACATGTGAATAAAACTTACTGTCATCCATCTGAAGACTTGGTGGACAGTAGAATTTTTTATGGGTAATTAAATTTGGTAATCCTCTGAAGAGACTTCGGCATAATTTACATTCAAAAATAGTGTCCACATCTTTTAATAAGATATGTTTAAGTTGTTTAGTTCCTGTGAGGAAAAACAAAAGGCAAAAGAAAACTTTCACATACACATCCAAATTGGACAATCACTGTTGACAGTCCAAAAGTGCACACCCTCTTTGAAAAAGAAATCTAGGCATTGCTAACTTCTGCCATATTATGCTTAACACTAAGTCATAAAGTAAATGCTAATAAGCAAAATCTCACTATCATTTGATTGTTAGGTCAGCTAAAATTGATGCTCTTGTTCTAAGCTGCCCATCAATTCTTAAGGAACTCAAGGCAGTGGTTCTGACACCTGGCTGATCACAATGACCTAGGAATAAAGATGCACCTGATGCAACCCTACAGAGTCTGATTCAACAGATCTGGAGTGAGGAAGTAAAATAAATGGTCCTCCACCACTCCTTACCATTGAGCTAGCTGATTCGGCTAGCTAGCTCTTTTTGGTCTTAGGAACAGAATATAGTTTTTACACTCTACTCGTTAAAGTAGGATTCCTTAAAGCAAGTCCAAGCTGTATTACAAGATTGCCTACGATTTTCTTTTTAAATTCAGCTCACTTTATTTTAGGTTCTTGGCCAACTAGGGACGATGGCCACTTATGTGTACTAGTTGAGAATCCCAGCCCATATGAGAGAAAATTCTGAAGTTTGCTTGCCCTCCCGTAAGCAGTATTACTCAGTTTTTCTCCCTCAAAATAGTGAACTCAACTGTAATCAACCACCGATAAACTACTGGTTTAATGTGTTTTTCTCCACTAGGTTATAAACTTCAGAGCAGCCAAGACAAAACCTGTTTTATCTATAACTACAGCTTTCTGCTCTAAGAATACTCTCTAAGTAGTTGTTGAAGAAATCATCAGTCAGACTTGGGAACTACTACTTGATCTTTGAGAACCTAAGCGTCATGTTGGAAAAAGCAAAATAAAAACATCAACCAGGAATAGCATGAGAGCCATGGGTCTTCTGTCACTAGTTCCCAGGTCTTTGCCACATAGACATGAATGAACTTGGTCTACAGTGCTTTACTAATATGCCTTTTGTTTCCTCAGATATAAAAATATCAACACTGACTTATATTAAGGAGGGAAAAGCCAGCATGCCCCAAAAAAGGTCTTTATGATCTGGGTTGGTGCATCAGTCAACAAACATTTACTGGCTAGCAAGCCCTGGGACTACTCAAGAGTATAAACGATATCAGTGTCCTAACACAGCCCCCCCGCCCGCTAAAAAACCCCAAATTTTCTTTTTTGATGTCTTGGTTTTCAGGCCTGTTCCTGGGGTTAGTTGGCGTGTTGATGCAGAAAATCACATTGGATAGACCGCATCAGCTCTAGTTTCTTAGATAGGGTGTTCTTCTATACTTTCAGCTACTGAGTTAGACTCATTATTTTATCATCCTAGTTTAAATGTGAGGAGAATTAAAACCCACAAATTACAGAGTAAAAGTGGTGAGAAATACATGAAAAAGAATTAAGTATTAAGGGTTCCAAGGGACGTATGGACCCACAGTGGCTCGTTGGTCAGACTTGCGCTGTGGGTCTAAAGTCAGTGGTTGGAACCCACCAGTCGCTCTGCAGCCTTCAAAAGACTTAAAGGTTTGAAAACCCAAAGGGGCAGTTCTTCTCTGTCCTGTAGAGTCACTATGAGTTAGAAATGATTAGATGGCAACGAGTTTTTTGTTTGGTATGGGAGGCTATGCAATATATCCCCAAACTACAAACTGGACACTGCACAGCCGGAACACAGCTTGAGAAGAATGAAAAGAAAAAAGAAAACTGAAAAGGCACATAGAGTGAAGGTGTGGGGGCAATTTAGAGTGTCAAATATTTTGTGTCATAAATAGAGGTCATAAATATTTTGAAGATCTAATTTTTTCTTCAAGTTACGCAGTAAACATTTCAGAACACATTTTAACATATAGAAATCAATAGAGAACTGATGTTAAGTGTTTCAGAGGTTAGGTTCACTACAAGCTTCTTTGTAAGAAAAATCTGACTTTTCAAGAGTTTCTGTACACAGGTAGAAAGTCATGTCACCTTATAACATGACTGGAATATCTTAATTTCAATAAAATCTTAACTTACAGATCCATCTTGGGTTTCAGAACATTTGAATCTCTATTGATTGTACCAAACTCATTACCAGTCATTCCATTATGACATAGCAACCCTATAGGAGAGCGTGGAACTTCTCCTCCTTTGGGATTTTAAGGCTGTAAATCTTTCATGAGAGCAGAACGCTTCATCTTTCTTTTGCCGAGTAGCTGGTGGGCTTGAACAGCTAACCTTGTGGTTAGCAGTTAAACACATAACCCACTACGCCATCAGGTCTCTTTATTTATTGTACAGTAACTCTTATTTATGAACTCTTTTTAAGATAACAAATAGGAACTCCTTCTATTCAGTGCCTAATAAAAGTGAACTGATAACTTTGGGAAAATTCCAAGTTCATGCAATTTACACTGTTCAAATATATCTTTGGATCAGAGGACAACATATGCGGAATAACTTGACCTAAATATTTCGTACACCACAAACTATTTTAAATAAAACCAGTGTGCCTTTCCTCTATATCAGGCTAGCGAACACTACATTAATATATCCTGATTGCTTATGAGCAAGAAGACTGAAGAACGGCATATGGTATAAATTCTGAATCGCAAAAACTAGAGCTGATCGGGAACACTAGTGACATTTTTGGAATCAGCAGCAGGTCAATATACCCAGAAACAAGTATAATATTTAAGGCACCAAAATGTGTGCTGGTCAATAAAAATTGGTAAATGTTCAATGTTTCTGAATCAATATTTTAAAACCTAGTAACACTTAAATTTTCAATACTTAAAATTCTATTGCAAATGGATTGGCAGCCAGATTATCATAACTTTAATAAGTCTTTAGAAATTCCAATTCTGATTGCATCTAGTTATGTGAAAATCTGGGTCTAAATAATCTTTGTGCTTTGATTTATTTATTCTGTAAAACAAAACAAACTAAACCAATCTTGGAGATTATGAGGTTTTGAAAACATGAACTGAAATCTCAAAAAAACAAAATTATATACCAGGAAAAAAAAATCTTAAAATTTAAGTACAAAATTATTCTACTGAGAGGAAGAATATAACGAAATGTGTTCTACCATTTCTCAAATCTAAATCTAGGTTTACGCCCCTAAAGTATATGACCACAAACTCACAAATGAGAAATTTGAAGATTCACGTTATCTTTTTTTTCCATCATTTTACTGGGGGCTCATACAACTCATCACAATCCATACATATATCCGTTGTGTCAAGCACATTTGTACATTTGTTGCCATGATCATTCTCAAAACATCTGCTTTCTACTGGAGCCCTTGATATCAGCTCATTTTTTTCCCTGCCTCCCCTTCCCCCTCCCTCATGAACCCTTGATAATTTATAAATTATTATTTTGTCATATCTTACACAGTCCAACGTCTCCCTTCACCCACTTTTCTGCTGTCCATCCCCCAGGGAGGAGGTTATATCTTTATATGAATTCAAATTCACACACATTGTGTGTATTCCATTTCACATCACAAGTTAAATTGGTAAAAGGCTGCTAATATATCTAGTTCATAGTTAAGCTCATAAGTGACAGATCAACTATGAGAGGCAGAGTGATGACAAAAATGCTTTTGGATAAACTTCTTTGATTGATCTACATCGAGTTCTCTGGAGGTGAAGTTAGGAATCAAGCCAGTAGGAATAAAACAGAAAAGTTTCACCTATTTTTGCTCTAAAGGAAAAGGCCTGGTAAACCCATACTTAAGATTCAACTGTCTTTAAAGACAGTAATAAAAAAAAAAGTTAACTAGGAATACAAAAATAATCTGAAGTAGGTTAAACTTAAGAATCTAATTCATCTAAAGGTTTAAAAAGAAAGTATAAAATAGCAAATTTAAAACATAAAATAATCTGTAAAAACATGAGACTATATTTAAAAATATCACTGTGAAAATATAAGACTTTACCTTTAAATCAGACAGATCACTTATTTTATCAGGGTCTCTCAATCATGGAAAAACAACATTCAGTCCTAGTTATTGTTAGTTATATTAAGTAGAGAGTATATAAAAGCATCTGGCTCTAATCTTGACTAACCACCCTTAGTCATCAATCACGAATCTCCCCGACTCCCCACACACAGTTATTGTGGTCCCAGCTATACAAAGTTTCTCTCAATTCCGCAAATATACCAAAGGTCCAAGCACACATGTACAGGCCCTCATGGGAGCTTTCTCTCTCTAGCTCTCTATCAGACTCATTCTCAGTTTCCAAACCTTCGCCCACGTGGGTCTCCGTTTATATAACATTCTCCCACTTCCCTGGCTGGGCTCATTTCCAGTGATTCTTCAGATCCCAAGTTAAAGGTCACTTCCTCCAAGACCTCTTCTCTGACCTCTCTTGTTTGTTGTTGTTGTTTTGCTAAGAATTCTGCACTCATTTTCCCAGGGCACCCTATACTTCTCCTATACTAGCTTGCCTCACGATCTTTTAATTAGCTACTTCTCTCTATCCTCGTGACACTGGAACTTTCAGAGGATGCTGAAGGTGTCGTTGATGCTCACTTGTATATCCCAGCTCTTAGGACATCTGGCATTGCCAAATGGCATACTAGGTGGGAGGGCCTTCTCCATGCATAGCAGAAAGTCCTCTTCAGATAAGAGTCGTTTTCATCTACAAGACGTTGACCAGTGAGTCAGAAAAGGGACTGTAATGATTTTCTCATTTTATTTAGATGGTTAACCAGTAAGATGTACCACATAGCATCAACACTGGCACTAAAAGTTTTTCTTTAGTTTAGTCACCACTTGTTGCTATTCTCAGAGACATAATGATTTTATTCAAAACTAGTCACCTGATTGTTTTGCTCACCAGTAATTATAAGCAACCAACTGTGCCTCTAGCAATAGATCACAACTTTGCGTCTCTGAGGCAGTCACAGAGATGGTCACCTAGACAGCAACAAGAGGTACCTGCCCCCCCAAGTCTTCATCCTGA